CTCTCGGGCAATCTATTTTTGCTCAGACTCGAAACAACTTTTCACAGGAGCGTCAGTTCTTGTCATCCTGGACTAATTCTTTAACGCGGACCATTTCCTGCCAACTTGGCATTCTGAAGTGGTGCGAAAAATCATAATGAATAATTCCAGCATACATCGATCATAACGACCCTAACAAAGGAATCAATCAACGGACGCTCTCAGAGGACCTCCTTTATTTTCAAACTGGTTTCCCTGACATATTGGCCCTGCTTTATGAGCCCTTAGATCGCAAGCGTGAACATTGCATTAGCGCAGTTTAGTGTTTATTGAAGTCAAAAACAAATTTGTTCTGAGGCTCAGTCTTCAGCAATAATGTGATCAAAGAGGGGTATGCGCACGCGTTGCGGTAAAGGAAATCTGGTCTGCACTGATAGACCGTTGTCCTTCGGTTCCTGTACTGTATGGACATAGACTACAAGTATATACTTTCCTATGCAAATTCTGAATTTTAATACGAATTCCACACATAACAGAATACATATTATTGCAAAACCAGACGCGTGAATAATGGTCTATGTATTTCCGCTTCATGAGTTATACACAAATCAATAAGATAAAAATATTTATGAATTTCTCATGGAAAAATCGTGACGCATGTTTTGCAATTGCAAACCATTGCCTGCATATCCTATTTTCAATATTTCAAAACACTTACATCTCGTATAGTCGATTTATTCGTAGCTCGAAACAACCGGAGTATCGATGAACGATCAGACCATGTGACCGATAACGGTTAGAGATTCAACAGAACCATCAAAGATCCGTATTCCTCGATTTATCCGGAGTTCGAGACTTACGGAGTGCCTACTTGGGATCAGACTGACATGACAGATTTTGTATGGAGATTTAGTATAATATGTGAAACCCATTTCTGATGTCGTGATAGACATATTATCATTAAAATCGGCGTAGAAATGATTCCCTCACTCACTCTAAACGCTGTATCGGGTTGAAGGAAAACGAGTTGTGAACAGGTTTTGAAAGTAACTTACTGTCGGACATGTTAAGATCCGCTATCTCGAATGTACCTATATCTCGAACATCCAGCGTTTTTTCCTTCCCGGAACCTCGAAACCTGGACTCAGTTTGATCAATACCGGCGAGATATTTTTAGTATGCCAGCGTATTGTTACGTATTACCTATACGCGATCTATCTTTGATCATTATCTCGTATGTTTGTTTGCATAAACTGAAGTTGCAACACGGTCCCGCTAGGTTCGAAATACATGGGGCCATTATGCACGATGCATATATTAAAATCATCTGTAACCAAAACGAAATAGTTCCTGAATGCACATTAAGCTCTGTTACACTTTAAAACCAAAGTGTGTGTTATACGGTACTAGCTATAGGTGTTAATGGTTTTGGCCATACACAGGGCACGATAGCTCACTTATTCATTGTAACACAAACATGTACTCGTTTTGCTATCGATTATTTTCCTCTGCCGATTTGTATTGTGCGATGCGTTGAACTTCCACCGGCCGCCATTGTTGATACAGCCTTCACGTCGCCAGCCCAACGAAACGCCAAATAGTGATGGAGAAAATCCATTGATGTTTCAATTACTTACATCCCAGGGTCAAAACAAACAATAAATTGCTTCGTAATGAAGAACGTTCTCGCATTGTCAGACTGGACAGATCATTTGAATCAAATTATCGATTAAATAATAATGAAAATGTACTCAATGTTAATGACTAGGGGAAACGTGCGCCTAATCGAAATTTTACATTACGAAGGGAATGATTTACATTACTGAATAGAAACGATCAAATATGTCATTGACATCTTTATTCACTCTCTGCAGTATCGAGGAATAATGTTTCATTATAAGATAAGTCTTGGGGGAACCTAGTAACGATAATTACATAATCTATCCGACATTCTGGTCTCGCAATGTGAGACTATAAATAGACTACCAATAACGGCATTTTAAGATCTCTTACTTAACCAGGGATCTAAATTAGTCAAAATAAATTTACATTTTAAATGGAACCTTATTTACAACGCAATGGCTGCATCTGGCTGTGACCTACACACACAAGATAGTAACTACTCAACGCAAATGAACACTGTCAGACAAACTAAGACTTCAAAGGCTGCCAGTCACTTTCACGTACAGCGGTAACCTTACACAGATCCTTGAGGCCAAGCGTCCACACCTATCACCATATTTCAGTCAATCTGTCAATGTGCAGAAATAAACAAGCTTCCAGAACACCCAGTGTTAGGGAATCTGCTTTAATTCAAGCAATGGAAACCCTCCACGAAGTGCCCGTATCGATTTTACAAAGATCGATAGTGAGTGCCCGTAGTGATCATCTGTACTAGCCTTAACCTCTCCTTGCTGTGCTACTGCATACACACTGACGAACACGGCCTGTCCTACACGTGTCCACTGCTAATTCGCCGTGGGATTCGAGATGTTACACACAAGGGACATTGATTAAACTTTCTCGTTCGTGTTTTTCGGTCTTTCAAACGCCAAATTTGCTTGTTGTAAACTATTTGGGCAGTAGCGTGATTGCGTTTGCGTGTCGTAATGTAATAATGGAGTTTTATGTGCTGCGAAGCACTCTCGTTGATTAAAGTGTTTTTTCGAAAAGAGATGGCCGAATTTACATAGCTCGACAACTGTTTGATGCGATTATACCATAAAATTACCTTAAATACCAACGAACCTCTGTTTTGAGCTCATTTGGTGCTATCCTAATCGAGCGTATTCAAGTCAGGGTTAAACCTGCTTATAGTACCGGAAGTACGTTATCTACTGGCATCAAAATACATTCTGCCCATGTGCATCGAGATGAGTCAATATCGTCCGACACGCTCAATTAAGGTATTATCATTAGATCAAGTTGGATACAGGTAACCAGTCTCTGTAACGAGAATATAGAGTCATCACCATGGAAACCAAACCGTGACCCCTCATTTTGATGAGGGGATGAATTATAAAACGGTCAGTCATTAAAATAATTCAGATCAGTACGTCTATTGGTATACTTCTGTTCTATCTATTATTGAATTGTATTGAAAACCATTCGTCCATGCAGATGCCTCGACACAGGAATACTCTTACACGTTTCTGTAACAAGGTCTGTACTGGCCCTATACAATTAAAAGAAAACGCGAACGACCACAGGTGCTTGTCAAATGATGTACGACTGTTGTCGTAACAATAGCGACCTTTATCAAGCTTGAAGCACGCCATTGAAGTAATCATCTGACATTAACCTTAACAACCTCGCGTACGCCCACACTTTACCGTTACATACAACGTGGAACTTGAAGCGTTTGATAAGGCTGTCATTCTGGAAACTATAGAACAGACAAAAATGTGGACTGGTTGGCCACAATGACATGTTTTGTCTTTTATAGCCTGACCCCAAAGAACCGAAGAGGCATTTTCAATGCCTACCCTATTGGACATAGGTATGACTCCGACAACAATGAGTGAGTGAGTGACTCGGTGTCTGGGTTGGTGGGTGATTGTGTGAGTGAATGGGTGGGTGAATCAGTCTAATGACGTTTTAAGCAGTATTACATTTTTAACCAGGTCTGTGGGAAGACACCTACAAACATTAGAGCGAAGATCTTACAAACCATCACTCACAGGTTTCTCGCACCACATTGGTAAGATGAGTGATCCATTATACACCCCCACCCCCCCCCGAAACTTCTACAACCACAACAACATGAACGTGAACGTGAACGCAAACGGAACATGGCAGCTGTGTCGATACCATCCGGAGTACTCATTCACCATGTGATAACGTGACCCTCAACACAGACTCCACATAATTGCCTCATTTCGCTTCACGCACTGAACGCAAACGGCTTTCCTAAATAGATGTTGATTCACGATCTATGAAATCAACACAAACGCAAAATGAATTAACAGCAAAAACATTAAAACGACATAATGTATCACGTTTCAACACGTGCACATTCCGTTCTGTCATTATGTCCTCATTAACTTGCACTGAGCTACCTGTACACACACACATGTTGTACGCTTCACTAAACACAATCTACAACGTCATGTATTCATATGTCGACGATCACATTCCATCCAAATGGTTCCGGAAACAAACATCGAGACATTTGAAGACATGTATTTGAGTTGATGACTGAAATGTAACCCGACACAGAATGAATCGATATGCAAACACCATCCCTAACAAAACACATATCTGCAATGTTGCGGATGAGAGATGAATACCTGCTTTCTGCCGTCTCATCAATAAATCAACTTATCGTGGTGGTTAGTCTCTCAACAAGAGATAAAGATGCTTTTAGAAAAAATCACAGAATCAATTCGATACTCTCACATTTCAGACCATCACATATACTACACCGTTCACTCAATACCTCATACACGATCTTTTCCGAATTATTTGAAACCCAATTTGAGAGAAGAATAAAATTTAGCTTGGGAAAGATAACACATATAATGTAAAAGAGGAAAATCAATGTTTAGAAACTCGCGAGTCCATGTTGCCAAGGCTCCACATTCTAAAGCACAGCCTTCGACCTTTCCTTCCCTTACATAATGACAGTGGGCATTGTACAGTACCCCTGGGGAATGTAAACAACACTGCTGTATTATTTTCATATTGACGACTGCTTTCCAGCGCTGTAATCTACCATTATGCAGCGGCCCACACTAACCCAGTAATCACTCACAGGGCAAAGGATTGGACGTTCTTTGCAGTATTGACCCAAAGAGCCAAACCGTGGCCCCACTGCTGCTAAACTTGTTTATTTACTGGGCATAATTTATTTAATGGTATAATTGCTCAAATAACTAAATCGAGATGGATTTGAATGACAAATATGAGATATTAGCGTTAGGTTAATGTGAAGTCACAATAAGGTCATCCAAAACACTACACACGATCAGGCTGAGAACAGTGCCTGCTAACTGAAGATGCCGCCATGTTGGTTTGCCTACCTTGGTGGTTAAGCTAGTATTGAGCTCCCCACATCCGGGACACGTGACCTTCTCACAATCCACACACACGTTTGGACCTTCTCTGGACCCATCCTCGTTCAGTCGGATCTCATTTTTGTTGCATATAGGGCACAGAGAACATCCGGAATCGCTAAGCTCGGACAACGATGCTTCCCTCTCAATCCGTGTGGCATATTCTATGTATTCCTCTTCTAGATTCCTGAAAGTAGAGAAGATTAATGATTCATACGGCTGTGTAGATCTGGGACGCTGTCGTCATGTCGCATGCTCAAAACCAGACCTGCTCCAGAACAATGCACGTAAATAATTGATTGGTACCTAAAAGCTTCAGCCTTGCACATTCATAATCTGCAAGGCTTCCTAAAAACAGCTGGTTTGAGTGTGAGAGGTTGCTGGCTCTATAGTCTTTGGAAGACAGGCACATTCACTGAATTGCTCTTGTTGTTCAGGGCTGGAAGGGTCTTAACGGTCTATCTAATTAGGGGAACAGATGTAAATTGAAATACCTGACGCTTGGATCAATATTGTAAAGAGCAAGAAATTGACAAATGCTCGGCCAATCATGTCAAGAATGTATGAGACTGGAACAGTAAGGAAGCTAGTTCATTTATACCTGGCAATGAAGGCACGAGGAAGCCTGCCTGTGCATTTTACACACGCTGCGAGCTGATTGCACAGTGTGAGAGTTAAAACCCAATAATCAGCGAGTGACTGATACCAGATGCGCAAAAAGTCAATATGTTCCCCAGAAAAATGGTTAGAATGATCTGCATCAAGGGATTCCATACAGAGTATACTTCGATATCATGTTACAGCATGTGTCTTCAGTTAATTATTCATACTTATGTATTAAGAAAATGCAACGTAGATTCTCTTTCATATAAAACATTTTCATTAACATTATTTCTATCTTTTTGCTATACATTTGTTTTAAAACTGGAACTTTCTAATAAAATGCTTTCTAAAACACCATTCAACTACGTCTCAATGACACAAAGTCTCATTATACCGCATCGTTGCTGGGTTGTAGAACCCGTTAAGCGTAAGAAACACCAAGTAAAGAAAGCCATTATACAAATGAAAATGCACGTTTCTTCCCCTTTATCAGAGTGCTGTGTGCCTTCAGACAGAATAAGTGGTTCTTAAGAGGTGGAACGCGATTCCTTGGAAAGATGCTCGAGAAGAGGTTCCAGACAAATGATTTTGCGAGGTCAGTTTCCACCTCATACCCTCCGCATTGTTTTAAAGACTTAAGAGGAATACCATTTGTGCACCGTCAACACTCTCGGGGACGGCAGCGGCATCAAATGTCATTCTGGTCAGTGAGTGTCTGTCTTGTTGAACAACATAATATAATCTGGCAATAAATTACAGCCCGTGTCGATCTCGTCTGGTGATATTATCCTCCCAAGTGTGGCCAGGCTTACATATGTCAAGGCCACATGCTCCAGACCCTGGCTCGCTGGATAGATAAATGGCTGAGAGCTTTCCGGCGGGACAACCATAATTCAAACTACTATTGGGTGGCTCTTGTTTTCTACTGGACCGATGTAAACTTTACAGATTTATTTTCTTCAAATTTTCCTCCATTTGATGAAAAAATATTTCGTCTTTTCTCTTTTTTAGGGTTACATTTATGCTTGATCGAAACATCAAGCATATATGTCCTTTCGACAAATTTAGGGTCGCTGTGGTAACTTGTGGTGGTTAAAGCGTTTGCTCGTCACGCCGAAAACATGGGTTCGATCCCCCACATGGGTACAATGTTCGCTAAAAGCGGCGTAGAACTAAGACTCACTCACTCACTCACAACTTTTAGTAAATGTTGCACGCACTGCAAACGATTCCTTCTCAAGAGGCGACGTTGTACCTAGTTGTTGTTGCTGCTGCTGCTGTTGTTGTTGTTGTTAGAACTGGTCTTTAGCAACCCATGTTTGTCCTGAGATAAGAGTAACGTGATCGAGTGGACAGGTTCGCTGACTTGGTTGATGCATGTCAATCCCAATTGTGTAGATCGATGCTCATGATGCCAGTCCTTGAATTGTCTGGATTATTTACAGACCGCCTTCATACAGCTGGCACATTGCTGAGTGCGGTGTCAAAACAACAAACAAAACAAACAAACAAACAAACCTCGTGGTTGCTCGTTGTACAAATCACCGAATCGTCAGGTTAAGATCTGGCCCCTACTACCGTCATATGATGGCGCATCAACAAACAATCAGCTTTTGTATAAAACTTTTGGTGCCACATCTGGTACCATCAGTACTAGTGATTACAAGTAACCCATTCATGAAATTCTGATCCCTTTCAGTCAAATGGAATGTTGATAGTGATGTTTTAAATTTACACAGAAAATCCCATTTCGGTTTCTTAACATAATCCAAAGTGTCGAGTTTTGGTGTACCCGCCACCTGTTAACTTAAAGTCAGTTTACGGCGGAGTAAAGTTTCACTCCTTCTCGCAACAATATTTTGCCTCCTTAAGATAATGTATTGATTAGGGTCAAAAGTTTGATACGTACTCTATCAATGTTCGATTGCAACTAAAGCTTTTGCGTCATTGGTTCAGAAAATTGCGTGCATACGTTCCTAAATCGAAAAATAATTTTCGGTCTGCCGTACATTGATTACAGGCCTCACTAGTATGTTCGGTTAGAAATGGCTTCGGTTGAGCCAATCGATCACGCATCAGGCGGATTTATACTCTCGGGATACACGAGATCTCTTGGGAACTGCGGCCGGAAATGCGACCTCCTTCAGTGCCGTTACAAAATCTACTATAGTAAAGTCATAGCTATTAACTGCTTTGATAGATGCCACATTAACTTTCTCAGATCTGTGCCCAAGAAACTGGGTGTGAAACAATTGCCGTTCAGGGCAGAGGTTTACATCATGTCGTACCAAAGCTGTAAACAGACCTGTGAACTTTCTGCAATAACATAAAAGTTAAATGGACCCATACAAAGAACTGATGACATAGTAGAAAAGGTGTCTTCGGGAGTGACAGAATAATAAAACTAAGTTGATTTCAAACCCAAAACTTCTAGTTGTTTTCACATTAAATGTCTAGTGTTCCTCATCACTGAGGATTGTTTGCATGCTTTTCAGTATGGTTGCCATTTTCTGGGTTTTTTTATGGCATAAGATAAGACAAAAAGGCATGCTTAATAACTGTTTTTGCAAAAGATGAAGGGTGTAAGATATTACAGGAAATGGGAATTACGACGTTCAGAACGATGACAAATATTAAGTATGCTGAAAGTGAATGTTTGAAAGGATGCAGAGACGATGTACTTCCGGTCGACGTAACCATGGAAGTATTTATCTGTCAGCAAAGAAAATTGGGATTGCGAAAATGATTTACGGTTGACTACTTTTAAAACGAACACGATTATAAAGAACCTACCGGTATAACGAACTATGCTTTGGTCCCGGCCAATTTCTGTATGTTTCTGTCGATATTAGTTCGTTATAACCGTAGTTTATTGTATTTGCGTCTTGAGTCGTGGAGTTGGGGTAGCCCGATAGGTAACCCATTCCGGGTTCGATTCTCCACATGGGTATTACATGTGAAGCCCGCTCTCGTGTCCCATGGCATGATATTGCCGGAATAATATTTAAAGCGTCGTTAAACACTACTCTCTCTTTAAGGTACTGGCAACCTTTACAATTATCGTAAATGTTGTTTTATGGGCGTAAAATCAAATGCAGCAATATTCATATTATTGCAGTTCATGATTTTGAGAATCCCTGCAGGTATTATTGCAAATGTATAACACGTCAATGGTTCTCATGCATATTTATATTCAAGCGACAAATAATTTAAATATATGTGCACAGCTGGTCTGCTCTCGTTGTGACCATCACAGAATCACTATTATATTCTTGGGACCTGGAGATAGCGTGACACGCGGCTCTTATGGTTTATACAGCACGCTGGATGTTAACTTCCGCCTACCTATCAAAAATGCATGGGATAGGAATTGCAAACCCATCGCATATCCTCGGCTTAAACAGAGTTGTCTCCCTTTGGATGTATCGTTTTGAACATGCTACAGTAACAAACATGTTTCATGGCAGATCTGGGACTGTCAGCCTAGCGTGCTCTCGTAATGGTGAATACCTGGGTTAGATTTCCCACAAGGGCGCAATTTGTGAGACACTCTCGTCGTCTCCTCCGTGTTATGGCTGCATTAAAACATACTCTGTTTTTCATTCATTTGTTGGTGGACCGTAGTGTAACTGAATGCTGACCCCAGGAGTTATGTGTTTCTGATGAGGGTAGAACCAAAGAACAAATCTGGTCTATTGGCGAACACCTGGTGTCATCTCTGATTTGTTGTGATCCTCAGGTTTCTATTTTAACTTTTACGACCAAAGGAATCAATTTTGGTGAATTATCGCGAATGGGTATATTTGAGGTTAAACACTGAGGCTTTACATTGTGGTTTTTGATTCGGATTGATTGGGATGAAATTGTGAGGTTTTAGATTGAGATTGGTTGAAGTTAAATATTGAGGCTACTCACTGAGGTTTTAAGTTAGCATTGATTTGGGTTAAATATTGAGGTTTTAGATTAAGATTGATTGAGGTTAAACACCGAGGGTACAGATTAAGGTTTTAGATAAAAAGGATTGGGGTGAAATTGTGAGATTTCTATTGAGACTGATTGAGGTTAAACACCGAGGGTACAGATTAAAGTATTAGATCACGATTGGTTGGGGTTACATACTGAGGTTGAGACTGAGATTGACTGAGGTTCGTACAACCAACAATAGTTGAATCCATGTAACCTTTGTTATCATAAAAGTGTATCTAATTGTGGTAAATGTTATACAACAAAGAATACCACAGGTTTATATTTTTACACACATTTCAAAAGCTTTGGAAATAAGTGAATATGTCTTTGTGAAATGTGTCTCGAACTTGCCGGCACCCTGCTAAATTGGCCTGCCGAGGCCTGCCCATTCGCAGAACATATGTCATCGTCTGAGGTGTGGGGGTAGAACCTGTGCTTGGAGAGTCGAAGATCGGTGGTTCCATAGCCGGCGCTAGGCATTAGGGCATCATTTTTGTAATGTGTTTCACATAGCCACCAAATTCTGTACATGGGTCGGTCGGTCGGGGAAAAAAAGAGTTAATAAAGACAAAATTATCTGAATAATGTTCTTGATTGTCATTTATTGTAATTTTTATT